TGATTACGTTCAGTTTGTTTTGGTGCCGCGCGTAATCTGCAACAATTGCTCGAGCGAGCAAAAAAGCGAAACGATTGACTTTGGTCAGGAAAATCGTCATATTTCACACTGTCTTTTTCGTTTTAAATTAACATTTCGGTCAAGATTGGTGTTGGCTGTACCCAGTCGCATGCACATTTAGAATGAGACAGCGCAAGCTTTCACCATCCGAACCAAGAGAAAAAAGAGAAAAAGCGTGTGCAGATAAATTCAAAATTACGAGTTGCATATATGTTGTTGTGAAGTATTTTGAAAGTTATTTTAAGATCTGTCTCATCTTTTAAGTTTCGTTTTTATTTCATTAGGTGGGTCAAGGTTAGCCTTGATTTATCCACAAAAGTGTTTCCTGTTTTGATCTTTTTGCTAGTTTACTTAATGCTATTTCAGGAATATTCTTCGCTTGGCATTATCAGATGTTAGTTTTTCTTAGGCGGTCGCGTTGGTGATGTTAGAGCTGACCTTGGTTCATTAGTCTCGTTGAAGTTCCTGTTTGGGTTTGTTAACAAGCGTCTTAGTTTTTCATTGGTTTGTAGCTTCTTGCCGATCGCAACCATGTAGGTTCAGAAGTACCAAAACATCACCCACACCGAGTTCACCTTGATTTTATTCCCACAGTCAGCTAACCCAAACATGTCAAGCTTTGGCTATAAAAACCGCTACTATACTTGAACTAGTTAGTTAGAAGTAAGTAAAGATTGAGTAGAGCAGAAAGTAACAAGATTACGATTAAAATTGTTAGCAGAAGTCAAAGAAGAATAAAGATCAAGATGTAAATTAGATTCCTGGAACCTCATCGAGTGTAGCGAGCGTGTAACCCCACATATTTTGGTGGAAAATCCTCTTATTTTGGTGAATACACAGAAGAAAAATGCCAGCTTTAAGTGGACGATTCTTTGCAAGCTCTTCCTCGTGCGTCTGGTATGACCATTGCAAGCCTAAATTTTAGTTACATAATATTTTACATTGATTTCGTTCTTTTTGGTTTTTGATCGTCAGAGTCATTTGGGCTCAATTTAAAATTATTTTAGCTTGTTGGTTTTAGTCCAAGTCCCAAAATTGTACGGTTGTGATAGAGGAACTTTCGGAATGTTAATGCCTGAGACAAATTACATAACGACAACCTCGCACTAATTTCTCCGTTTTGTAAAAATGTGTTTTGAAGAAAATACTATTTAAAGCCCACCAAAGAAAATCTTTAAAAGTTATTTTCATTTGACTGCTTCATTATAGAAATTCTTCTACTTTATGTGAAGGATGTATCCAGCAGGAGCGTTGAATCGAGTTTTAAATGTGCATGGTCAGTTTGCAATGTTGAAAAAACGTGAACAAAGGAGTTTTGTAAAACGAGGTGCCTGGAACGAGTTAGGCGGAAGAACACCCCTATCTATTGGAAATGCTAGTGGCTGACCATCAATAGAGGGGCGAAATTGCTTTCTACAAGTAATCAACATGGTTTCTCGGACTGATAAAATGCTTTCAGCAGAGCTGGCGTTCTGACTGTGTTGATGAAAAGAAGGATATGAAGTTGAATTCTTTCTTTTTTGGTGTTCCTATTCCCCGTCACTTAAGGTAGTTAACCCGTGATTAATGGGGCATGACACGCGAAAATTGGAAAGCCAGAAACTAGTCTAACCGGGTCGCGTGAAGATTCCAAAAAATTTATCCCCGAATCTAGTACTGATAAATTTACCTTTAGTAACTCATTCGTCGCTCTTTCTCGTTGCAATCTATTGATTTGTTTCTAGGGTTATTTTCTGGTTTTGGTCGGTCTCTGATTTGGGTAGTGGACAATGTTGTCGAGTTTGTTCGTCTTTGTACTTATTTCATGGTAAACGAGCGCTTTATCAGCGACATATTTCGTGCAACCTTTCCGCACAATTTTTGTCGTTCGTTTGCAGAAATCAATTCTGTGAAGTGTTTTTTTGCTTTGAAAACATCCGGTTACCTTTTTTTTTTGGCTCGGCACCTTATATCTTTCGCGTCACACGAGTATGAAGATATCTTTATTTTGGGGGACCTAAGCGCAGTCAATTTTCAGCAGTTAGTCAATAATCGTTTGAACGAGTTTCAACCAAATTGACCTATATCCTGTACCATTATAGTTTTGGTTATTGTTGTGATTCTTTTCTGTTTTTGCTTGTAGGAAATATGGATCCTGAACGCCAAATTCAATTTATAGCAAAGTGGATTTGTATTTTCTGTTTTAAAATGAAAAGTGCAGCAGTGTTTGACTGGACTGTTTTGCGCTGTGATCACCTTGTCTGCATTGATTGTTTCAAGAAAAACAAGGACTTTCTCAAAACCATGAGAAGCTGTCACTGCGGACCACGTTTTCTAGAAAGTGCATACGACTACGTTGTAACGCATACTCACACCAGTAAAATGGCAGTAGAGGAGATGCCATGAACTCTGTATGTTTCGCTGCGTAGTTTTTTTTAACATTGTTTAGTTTCACTATACTTATTAATTAAAATAAGTTCGTAAAGGTGATGTATTAATTCTTCCTACCGTCCACATGGAGGACAATGTTCATGCAATTTAAGCGGGGAGGAATGTTATGAAGTAGTTGCTGTTAGTTTTGTTTTGGAGTTTTGGTATTTTTAAGGTTCTTCTTATGTTTAGAGTATCCGAATGGTTAGTAGTACGTGCTAGTTTCTTAATAAACCGTTCATAGTCCAAGGAAATTCAATGTATAGCCCACACGGTTAGTTCCTGAGTTTTGAAAAGTATCGTCTAATACTCTATCAAAAGGATTTGTTAAACTTACTGAAGTTCTTTGAGTAAGCATGTTCGGGGATTATAGCTGACCTTGAGTTTTACCTCCACTGAAGTTCCTGTTTTGTATGCTTGGTCGTACCGAGAAGTTCTACCGCTAGCATTCAATTGGTTCTTTGGTACTTGTTAATTGCGACAGTGTAGACTATTCTGTTGTTTAAAAGTTAAGCGACAGGATATGCAATGGAACAGTCTCATATGGTCAGCTAACCCAAACACGTCTACATGCAATTTGGTTATTTAATTCGCTGGTGATGGGCTTGCTAGTAGTAGAAGAAGAGTTGTAGCTGTTAAACGCCGAGAAGAATAAAAGTCACAAGCAGAAGAACAGAGTCTCGGTCCGTTCGTTAACTAGCCAAGCGAGAACCTTACAGTACCCAACAATAATCACGAAGGGAAGAAAATAACAATTCGAATCCATGTTTAAAATAGTTGTTGTACCTGTATTTTGAAATGTAAAGTGCATTCGATCTAAAAAAAGAGCAAGAAAAAGTACTTCGCTGGGGGTCTCGGGTCTGAAAATTTCACTTGCTACTAACAAGGTGGAATTAGAAAGTTTAACTTGGCACTATATTAGGAAATGACCTGCCTGGGAATGTAACTATTCGTACAAAGTTTGGTGCTTGTATCAAAAATCGCATAATTCTCTAGCTAAGCCGCCGGACTATGTGTACTTGGCCTAATTTTGAAAGTGAGAGTATTTGGAACTCGGAAGTGGCCTATTAGATCCTCTTTTTCTTTGTTACGACTGTAATACCTAGGAAACGCAGTAGCCTGTGTAGCAGGCGCTAGGAAATAAATGGGCGCAAGAAAAAACGCGCGCGAGAAGGAGACACGCCTCGCGTGTCTCCCTCGCGCGCGCCGGTTCTTTCTTGCGCTCATTTACTTCCTAGCGCCTGCTACGCAGGCTAGAAACGCAGCAGCAAGATTTGCTCGGTTGGTAGATGCGGGAGGTTCCGCGTTCGATCCCCGGGCCCCGAACGTGAATTATCTCCTAACCCGACTGCTTGCCGGCTACCTGACATCTCTAGGGCGCAGAGAGATTGCGATTGACCTTAACAGGCCTTTTCCAATAGTTGATCACGTAATCAACTTTCTGTAAACACGAAAACAGTTCGCTTTTGCAAAATTCTATCAGGAAAAAAAAGCATATTAAAATTAAGCAGCCTGTAAATTTTCAGCCGTATATATCAAAAGTAGCGATTGCGACGGTCGCCGAAAATTAGAAGGATTTGTATGAGAAAAACAACTCTTGCCACCCAGTCACGCTTGAGTGGATTTCCACACAAATCCTTGTAAATTTAATTTACAGGTTACCTAATTTTCATATGCTCTTTCAGTTCGTGTTAACAAAATTTCTCAAAAGCGAATTGTTTTCGTGTTTACAGAAAGTTGATCACGTGAACAACTAATGCAAAAGGCCTATTCTAGGACAACTTTACAACGCGAATTGCAAGATGTCTTGAACAGGCGAGAAAAATAGTCTTTTAAAAAATGTTAAAAATGTGATACTCACAAAACAAAAGTGCTGAGAAAGAGACAAACTCCAGCTACTCCATGAAGCTTAACGGACTGCGCGATTACTTTTATCACCTGAAAATATCACCATGCAGCAGTTAAGTGAACGTTGTAGTTAAGTGGAAGTTGAAAATGTCCAGAACAAGAACGCAATGTGATTCCTGCACAGTTTTTTTCTGTAACTTTGAACATATAAGCCTCTGGCTTTAGCATCCATCGTGCAAGTTTTTTTTCATTAATTTTGTGCCTACTTTTTGAAAAAAAAAACGGTTGATAAAGTTAAGTTAAGTTAAGGCGGAGGCTGAAAAACGAAAGAGAACGAAGCCAGTAGTGTTTTGCGTGAGCGGTCGTTAACTCATTGCGTGAAAGCCAGCGGGAAACCCAACAGGAAGAGCGCTGTTTTTTATATATAATGCAAATCATGACTAACTCACCAGGGATCCCAAAGGAAGAGGAATAAAGCCCATCCGACGAGAAACAAGATCAAAATGGTCAACATGTGCCTGTGAGACAAAACAACTGCTGTGAATATAACATCGGCTTAACCACCCCATCTTATCACAATCAGGTACAGAATCATGAAAAGAACGCGACATGTGTGTTATAAAGATGATTACCGTTTTTTTACTTCGCATCAACATAGCCTCCCACCCAGATGTTCTTTTGGCTCGTCACGCAATCCTCACCTCCATCAGACAATCCTCCTCTCTTCTTCGTGGGGAAGAAACGCGTGACGAAGCTCAAAGAACGTCTGCGTGGGAGGCTAGCATCAATATAATCGGGAAACCAAAAGGTAATTTGAGAAGTTTTTTATCGCTTCTAACGCCGGTAGCGATTGTCCAGCAAAAAACCAAGGAAACAAAAGAGATCGCGAAAACGAGGAGTATGGCTGACGCGGGACAGCAGGTTTTTGTGTAAGCTTAAGAGTAACTCGTAGAAACTCGAGAAGCGCTTTCATACTAACTCTTCCAATAGCTCTTCACGCATCCTCACGAGGTAGCTGCACGTACAAATAAATCACTGATTTTTATGTGTATTCTTCCTGACTTGTTTTTGTTCAAGACTGACACATTTACTCACGTTCTTTTGTCGACTTGAAGTAGCATCTTCAGCCAGAAGGGTCCTGTATTCACAATAAACCTAGAGACGAATGAACATATCAAGTGCTGTTTACAATTAATCGATCATTAACAACAGAAATTTGATTACAGCACCTGAGGCGCCTGAAAAGCGACAACATTGGCCTAAGAAAACAGCAGAGATTTTGCGATGCCACCACTGGTTTGCTGGGAAATGACGTCTGAGAAATTCCATACTAATGACGCATGGGTAGAGCTTCTGATTGCGGCACGACCAAACAGAAGCAATAGTCAGATATGGGTAGTGACGCGTCATCAGACGTCACTTCGCGGGGAGACAGTGGTGGCGTCCCGGAATGTCGGCTGTTTTCTGAGGCCACAACAAAATGCAACTACGTGGTAAAATTCGTGAATTTTTCAAGGGTCCTGCCTCAACTAAAAAAAAAAACAGACATTACGAACGCAAATGTCCCCTAATTACATCGCGCGAGAAAAATATGTTTTAGGCGTAGATAATCTATAATGGAAAGAAATGTTGTTCAGACAATAAGGTTTAAATAAACTCAGCTTCAAGAACGAATATTTGGCCTCAGAATCAAATGTTTTAGCCAAATAAAAAACAATGTTTTGGAAACAGTCGCCTACTCTGTGCAAAATACCGTCGGTGGTGAGTAATAAACATCAGGGTCTGGAACGTCATTCCCGGAATCCGAAATCTGAGCACAATACATTGCGGGATTCGGCAAAACGCAAACGGAATACAAGATTTGACTGCTACCCGGAAAGTGGAATTCGCCAAAGGTTCGACACGGATGCGGGGTTGGGAAAGAAAACCGACGGTATTCAGGATAGCGACGAGAGAATTTCGGGGGCCGGGATTCTCGTGAACAAAGGAGCGGGAATATGGGATCAGGGTCCTTCTTTCCAAACCCTAAAACATGAACAAGAAACATAAACTCCCCCACGCAGGACAGAAGCTACTACTGTTTTGAATTCTTTCATTTTGGTGATAAAATGAATGTATATATATACTTACCTCAACAGGAATGTTATTGAATTTAGTGATAAAAGCATGTTTGATCCAATCAACAAAATATTCAGACGATACAACGGCAACCAGATAAGGGCAGATCACATAAAGATGCTCTGTAAGGACAAAAATGTGATCAATGTCAAGAGAGAGTGCCAAGGATTCTCGTTTTGGCAAATGGCAAAGAAAGCACTTTATTTGAGTGTCAATATATTTACCATGAAAGTACTAATTAAGGACCTATTTTTACGTCTCCAACTGGAGACGGGACCGCCATTTTCCGTGGTCATCCGAGTCACGTGAAAGTCTAGCCGTTTGCACTGCAAAGGGAGTACCTTCATTTCTCAGTTATTTTAAGACTCTGAGTATTGGTCCGGTCCCGGGAATCGTACCCGCGACCTCCCGTTCTGCAGCCAAGGGCTCTATCGACTCCTGCCCATTCTACGAGTTCGGTTCCTCGATTCTTGCGTCCTAGCAGAAATCGTTATAAAATTTCACTTTGTGGACGTTCAGGGTTTTTGGGTTTTCATATTTGACTCTGAGTACAGTTTTGCTGTGTTGGTCCTTTCGTAAAAAATACACTTCCTGAAAATTTTGAGTCAGTCTACAACAATATCCATAAGTTCTTTTGAAAACCAGAGTAGAGTTGGCGATTCACCATTTAGATCATTAAATGAATCTTCTGGTTTTTAGGATTACAACACTGAATTTTTATCCAAGTTTAGCGGTTATCGTCATTTTTTGGCAACTTTGCAATTTTTAGCCCTTTTAACCCTTTAAGTCCCAAAATCCGCATACAAATTCTCCAGACTGATCTCCATACATTTCTTTTAAGAATAGTTGGGAGAATTTGGTTTAAGATCAACGCATTCTGCATTTGGTAATCAATTGAGTAATTCTCATAACCTTTACTCTTGATGATCTGCTGATTTTGTAAAGAAAAAATTGATGTTGGTCATCAATTTTGTCATCACAATATCAAAAGATAAGCAAAAAAAGGTTCTGGGGAAATTCTTTGATTTTTAAACAAGCTATCTCCTCTAATTCTTCAAGGAAATGTATGGAGATCAGTGTGGAGAATTTGTAAGTAGATTCTGGGCTTGTAAAGGGTAAGAGCGATTTTCATATGTCCTTGAAATGAAAACGCGCGAACAAAACAGAAAAAACAAACGAACGGAAATAGAGCGATTTGATTGGTTTATCGAACGGATACAAACCCAGGTGGCTTTTGGTTAGTTAATCGAACACTCCGGTAAAAAAAACTTCATGCCCGAGAACTTTCTAGAAATCAATCAATACTTCGCTTTGACGTCATACTGCAACCAACTGCAACATGATTGGCCAATCGACCAATGCCTTCTCCATATTAGGTTTTTTTTTGGCGGGAAAACGAAAAGGCCATGTTCTGATCTTTTCATCCATTGGCTGATAAAAGAAATAACGAACAATTACTGGTCATGCGAAAATCGCTCTGATAGTCCCCGAAGAACTGTCCACCTTACGCAAGTAAAGATTTTTTCCGTTTTTCCTTTTACAGTATTCTTTTTCATTTCACTTAGAAAAAGGTCTATTCTTTTCACTTACCAAGGTTCCAATTAAATTCTGTCAAGTTCCGAAGCGTTACAATTGTTACTAAAATCAAATAGTGAAATCGTTCTCTTATATCTGCAAAAAGAAAACGAAAACTTAACCAGAGTTCTCTCTACAAGTAAACTATAAATTCTTTAAAAATAACGACCGTATTTCAACATACCACTGCATGCCATTTGGAATAAGTTGTTCTTTTCAAATTTCTTGAAAACACTTCCTTTTAGTTCCACAAACTAGTGAAGACAAAAATATACAATCAGCTTTCTCTCTCTCTCTCTCTCTCTCTCTCTCTTGAAGCAGCCACTTCCTTGTTAGCCTCCCACGCAGAAGTTCTCAGGGGTGAGTGTTGCATTCCTGCCCCGTTAACAGGGCAGGAACGTGTGACAAACCCCTAAGAACATCTTCGTCATGTTACCGTTTCTGATGAAATAAGTTAAATTTGCACTGCACCATACACTGTTCAAGTGCTGAAAATCAGTAACTGCCCATTTTAACCACCGCGGCAAATGGAATTTTGCAATCGACCCTGATAACTCAAACCCTCTCTAACTTTTACATTTCCCTTCACAGTTACTGGAGTTCCACTGTATTACTAACAAGTGCACCTACCTGGTTTGACACCATGATGACTAACAAAGCTTTGTTGTGTGAATTAACAGCAACATTGAGACAGATGGATTGAAACAACACTAAAACAGCATGAAAAACTTCTCATGTTAAGGCTAAACAACTATACCAAAATATACGTCCTTTCTGGTGAAGATCGTACTATTCGGCTTTTCGGCTACACATTTGATGGATTTCACTTTATGCAGAACCAAATAAAACCCAAGATACTTTCCCCTGTGAGGTTATGCATTTTAATAATCATTTCTATTTTAGGCCACCCGGCTTTGAAACAGCACAATTCTGTGTCCAAAACAAGGATGCCATCAGTTACCAAACATTTACAGGAAATGCATTAACATTGTCAAAATACAATCAATCAGCAATGAAAAAGAAATTGAAACTGTAATATGCCAAGCAGATTTAATGATTTTGTCTACGACTTTTAAAAACATCATAAGTTTCACTACGCATCTGAAGGATACACACATAAACGACCGCCATAACAAAATGTGGAATAATTCCGATATGTTCACGTCTTCTATCTTTTGGTTCAGTTGCTGTCCAAAATAGTGCGTCCAAGATGTCTTGTCCAAATGATGAAAACAGTCTGTCTGCTATCTACAAGACAGTAAAAGTTTAGTTGTAAAATATCAAATAATTATTAACGTTAAAACAGAGAAAAAAGACCAAGAAGAAAGGAGAAAGAGTTTTGGGGGGAGGAGGGAGTGGGGATACAAGGATACAGTGGAACCCCGTTAATGCAACCTCTATTGGCCATAAAATCCTGGTCGTAATAACGAGGTGGTCTCATTAATGGGGTCTTCAAAAATAATAAAATAAGTCTGTGATTTTTAAGTTTGGGTTGAAAGAATATGGTTGTAATAAAGAGGTGGTCACATAAACAGGGTGGTTGTAAGGCGGAATTCCACTGTACTCACTGTAGTGGCCTTTGAGGGATATCCCACCTGATAGGGCTTTATTTTTCAGGCTCAGTTGAAGTATATAGAAGGGTAGAGACTTCATAGGCTGAGGAATAGAATAGGGTAAGGAGACTACCACATACACTGTAGCTATATAAAGGTGTTTAAGGGTACAAGAATAAATTATAATCAGCAAATATTAATCTGTATCTCTGGCTTTAAGTCTTGCCATTGCAATGTTTCCTCTCACAATAATTAATTATTTTTCTTGTGTGAGGTGGTCACATATTATGGCTAAAGCTACCGCTGGTCCTCACAGGCTGTTTAGTCTAGAAAGGATTTAGTGTTTGTTATTTCAAAGAAATGAGATTCAAATGGGGTCATTTAAAAACCCTCGGAGGGCAATTGCACAAGATTTTGTAACTTCAATAAGCCGTTTGCACTGCAAAGGGAGTACCTTCATTTCTCAGTTATTTTAAGACTCTGAGTATTGGTCCGGTCCCGGGAATCGTACCCGCGACCTCCCGTTCTGCAGCCAAGGGCTCTATCGACTCCTGCCCATTCTACGAGTTCGGTTCCTCGATTCTTGCGTCCTAGCAGAAATCGTTATAAAATTTCACTTTGTGGACGTTCAGGGTTTTTGGGTTTTCATATTTGACTCTGAGTACAGTTTTGCTGTGTTGGTCCTTTCGTAAAAAATACACTTCCTGAAAATTTTGAGTCAGTCTACAACAATATCCATAAGTTCTTTTGAAAACCAGAGTAGAGTTGGCGATTCACCATTTAGATCATTAAATGAATCTTCTGGTTTTTAGGATTACAACACTGAATTTTTATCCAAGTTTAGCGGTTATCGTCATTTTTTGGCAACTTTGCAATTTTTAGCCCTTTTAACCCTTTAAGTCCCAAAATCCGCATACAAATTCTCCAGACTGATCTCCATACATTTCTTTTAAGAATAGTTGGGAGAATTTGGTTTAAGATCAACGCATTCTGCATTTGGTAATCAATTGAGTAATTCTCATAACCTTTACTCTTGATGATCTGCTGATTTTGTAAAGAAAAAATTGATGTTGGTCATCAATTTTGTCATCACAATATCAAAAGATAAGCAAAAAAAGGTTCTGGGGAAATTCTTTGATTTTTAAACAAGCTATCTCCTCTAATTCTTCAAGGAAATGTATGGAGATCAGTGTGGAGAATTTGTAAGTAGATTCTGGGCTTGTAAAGGGTAAGAGCGATTTTCATATGTCCTTGAAATGAAAACGCGCGAACAAAACAGAAAAAACAAACGAACGGAAATAGAGCGATTTGATTGGTTTATCGAACGGATACAAACCCAGGTGGCTTTTGGTTAGTTAATCGAACACTCCGGTAAAAAAAACTTCATGCCCGAGAACTTTCTAGAAATCAATCAATACTTCGCTTTGACGTCATACTGCAACCAACTGCAACATGATTGGCCAATCGACCAATGCCTTCTCCATATTAGGTTTTTTTTTGGCGGGAAAACGAAAAGGCCATGTTCTGATCTTTTCATCCATTGGCTGATAAAAGAAATAACGAACAATTACTGGTCATGCGAAAATCGCTCTGATAGTCCCCGAAGAACTGTCCACCTTACGCAAGTAAAGATTTTTTCCGTTTTTCCTTTTACAGTATTCTTTTTCATTTCACTTAGAAAAAGGTCTATTCTTTTCACTTACCAAGGTTCCAATTAAATTCTGTCAAGTTCCGAAGCGTTACAATTGTTACTAAAATCAAATAGTGAAATCGTTCTCTTATATCTGCAAAAAGAAAACGAAAACTTAACCAGAGTTCTCTCTACAAGTAAACTATAAATTCTTTAAAAATAACGACCGTATTTCAACATACCACTGCATGCCATTTGGAATAAGTTGTTCTTTTCAAATTTCTTGAAAACACTTCCTTTTAGTTCCACAAACTAGTGAAGACAAAAATATACAATCAGCTTTCTCTCTCTCTCTCTCTCTCTCTCTCTCTTGAAGCAGCCACTTCCTTGTTAGCCTCCCACGCAGAAGTTCTCAGGGGTGAGTGTTGCATTCCTGCCCCGTTAACAGGGCAGGAACGTGTGACAAACCCCTAAGAACATCTTCGTCATGTTACCGTTTCTGATGAAATAAGTTAAATTTGCACTGCACCATACACTGTTCAAGTGCTGAAAATCAGTAACTGCCCATTTTAACCACCGCGGCAAATGGAATTTTGCAATCGACCCTGATAACTCAAACCCTCTCTAACTTTTACATTTCCCTTCACAGTTACTGGAGTTCCACTGTATTACTAACAAGTGCACCTACCTGGTTTGACACCATGATGACTAACAAAGCTTTGTTGTGTGAATTAACAGCAACATTGAGACAGATGGATTGAAACAACACTAAAACAGCATGAAAAACTTCTCATGTTAAGGCTAAACAACTATACCAAAATATACGTCCTTTCTGGTGAAGATCGTACTATTCGGCTTTTCGGCTACACATTTGATGGATTTCACTTTATGCAGAACCAAATAAAACCCAAGATACTTTCCCCTGTGAGGTTATGCATTTTAATAATCATTTCTATTTTAGGCCACCCGGCTTTGAAACAGCACAATTCTGTGTCCAAAACAAGGATGCCATCAGTTACCAAACATTTACAGGAANTAAAGGGGGGTTTGACTGTAATAAAACTTTGTATCACTTTGTAACTCACGTTCTGCAAAACAGCAGTCCAGTTAAAATCTTGTAACATGCAACAATCAAACGCAATGGAAGGAACGTAAATATGAACAAAAAACAGTCAAGGCACAACATGAAACCAAAAACCATCAACTGAAAGAAAACAGAAAGCCCAAAACAATCCTTTGAGTGCAAACTGTTTTAAAAAGCAAAACTTAGGTTTCAATAATGCTGTAATTGTAATGAGTATAATTATAAGATGAAAATATAACAATTATTTTAAGAATAATTTAATCACAACCTTTCACCTCAAAAAAGGCTTTTAATTTTGTACCCATATGATGATAAAAAAACCAAGAAAATTGAGAATAGTGCTTCAAGTTCTACAAACAAAAACAAGCAAAAAACAACCAAACAAAAGAAAGAATATTAACCTTTTCAAACTCTCTTGGAATTTTCATGAATGTGTACACCTTCTCACGCTTTTCTGTATACTTGTCTTCTTCAAGTTCCATATACTTTCCCCGGGAGATTTCTGCCATAATGTACTTCATGAATGACAGCTCTAAAGTGAAATCATGAGTCATAAATTCAAGCAAGACTGCACTGACATGAGAAATTTGACAATATTTTCACTTCTTAAGTCATTATACATTATAGAGGGCCCGCCTGCATTTTGCCGACTTCAAAAGGGAAAGGAGCAGCTTTTCCAACACTATCCCCTCCAAGCAATATTGTGCCACTGTATGAGCTACCTGTAACAAATAACAAACACCCCAAATTTGAATGGAGGGCAAAGGGGAGGGGTGCAGATTGTTTTGCCCTTCGAAGTACCCCGGCCAATTAAGCACAGTGTCTCAACAATTTTGTTACTAACTGTAGCTAGTAGTATTCTCTCTTTGTTGTACTAACAAAGAATAAATTAGAACCTAGCATTTCATGAAAACTTAATTTTTTTTCTTTCATGACACCCTTTTAATTTTGCCTGAAGAAAATAAAATGTCTTTTATTGTTGTAACTCGTCATTGTTTCTATATACACTCATCTTAATGTGCCCAGATTGACATAAGGAGGGCCAACCTACATTCCTGTCATAATATTGTTGAAATGCTTGCAAATTCAATGTTGATCTCGAAAATGTTTGTGCCAAAGCAAACATGTGAAACCAGTATTGCCGAAAGGGTAGGGAAGCAATATATGTATTCATGAAATGAGTATCTTGAGTTTTCCGGAAGTGTTTCAACAAATTATGACAAATTATACAGGTATTTCTTGGTGTTGTGGAAATTATTGTTGTTTTTTAACTGTGCCATGGTGTGGATATAATTCCGTGTCTTCTAAAATTGATATCAAAATATGTGGGTATCACAGCATCGACACCAACAAACCACCTACTTACTTCTTACACCATCATGAAGGTCCTGTTCAGAAGCTTCCTCCTTTATCACTGGACTTTCTTCAACTTTACTGTGAGACTTTCTACTTGGTTCCACAACCTCCACTGCTTCAGAGGAATTGTCATTACTTTGCCGCACCCTAGTTTCTTCGTCTCGTACACTCAGTCTCTCATTAGTCGAGTATCTATGTCTAAATTCCATATCTGGCGATCTCTCTGTAACTTGTGATTCCAATAATTTTGTAACTGTCTCAGTCTGAATTAATCCCTTAGAATTGAACACGGTTGAACTCGTTCTCTCTAATCCCTCATTTTTAATACATTTTTCACTGTCACTATAAAAAGTAGATCTGTCCACAACAGACTCAATATGACTGTCTTTATCCAGATCATCCGAGTTATTTACAAAACTCGTTGGTGTCCATCTCCAACTCTCGCTCTCCAAATCGGGATTGATTTTTGCTGTAGATTTCTCATTTTTTTCATCATCCAGATTGGAACATGAATCAAAGACCTCTCTACGAATGACTACTTCCGTGTCTGAACCATGCAAATTCAGCGTAGCAGACGAAAAATCACAACTTTCCTGTTTTTCTTTTTCCACATCATCCGCCATGTTCTCATCCTTTGTAGCAACTTTCGACGGAGAGGACATTGGGAACAAATCAGTAAAAGTAGTTCCCAGTTTTCCTCAGAATTTTCCGTCTAGTTTCCATGACACCTCTGTAAACTTCACTTATGGCGGACTTTCGCGGTATCTTTTCATCCTCTTGTTTTAGGTTTTGGTTTTCAGTCATGTTTTGAGTTCAACAACCGAGAAAACCTCTTTGTACAAAAATGTCTAGGGCACAGGCTGAAAGCGTCATCAAGAATATCATACGCGAAATCGCGCAGGAATGTGCAAACAAAGGGCAAGCTGTATCCGAAACTCTGGTAGCATTTATGGTGGGTGAATTGTTGTTTCTAAATTTATCTCGTTTTATGTTTATCGATAAAATAATGTGTATTTTATGGTTTTAGGTCAAAGCAGTTGTTTTAGATCCTGATAATGAGTTTAACGTGGACAGAACTCTTACGAAAGATGATGTACAAAAGCTTATTATGGTATGAGAAGGCGAATGTCTTATTTGTTTAAGCTGTTTATTCATTTATTTACCAATCGCCCAATACGAAGCATTTTAGACCGCAACTACAACATTAAAGACAGGGCTTGATAAGGTTTACTCAAAACGGGGCTACATTCTCTCAACATCAACATCAAGTGAAAGTTTCAGTGTGGAGGAGGTCCCAACAACCCTAAATATTTCTTATCTACTCTATCTGTTATGAAAAACAGTAAGCTTAACTGGTCTATACACTTATCAGCGGCCATCCCCAGGGACGGACAGAGGATTTGTGCCCGGGGGGGGGACTCCCATATGAAACAGACGGGGATGCTCGTTGTCTCGCTTAGGGGTGTAAATCTTGGATTTTGGTCTCGCTTAGGGTGTTCCGGGTAAAGCGCCAATATTTTAAGCCGCCAAGGTCTCGTTTAGGGTTCCGCGAAGAAACACAGAATTACGCGAAGAGAAACAGAAGTCCATTTTCTTTTTAACTTTGTTTGTTATGTCTTTATATCATTAAAACTCATTGCATGTCGTGTTTGTGTGTTTTTAAGCGGTCTCTTTTACGGGTCAAAATTTGCTTAAGCCACACCCAGATTAGTCTCCTTTAGGAGTCACAAAAAGCTTGAGCCACGCCCAGATGGTCTCCTTTAGGGGTTAAATTCAAAATTTCCGACGAGCATCCCCGTCTGTTTCATATGGGAGTCCCCCCCCCCC